TGTCAGGCACGGAAGAGACCACGGATCTCTTGTGTCAGACACTAGAGCAGAGGATATGTGAGTTTAGTATATATATATACAGGTATAATCCACCAATATGATATGTCAATATACTACAGCCAAACATATGTGTGCATAGTATAGAGGTATAATCCACCAATATGATATGTCAATATACTACAGCCAAACATATGTGTGTATAGTATAGAGGTATAATCCACCAATATGATATATCAATCCACCAATATGATATATCAATATACTACAGCCAAACATATGTGTGTATAGTATAGAGGTATAATCCACCAATATGATATGTTATATACTACAGCCAAACATGTGTGTGTATAGTATAGAGGTATAATCCACCAATATGATATGTTATATACTACAGCCAAACATATGTGTGTATAGTACAGAGGTATAATCTACCAATGTGATATATCAGAATACTACAGCCAAACATGTGTGTGTATAGTAAAGAGGTATATTCCACCAACATGATATGTCAATATTCTACAGCCAAACACATGTGTGTATAGTATCGAGGTATAATCCACCAATGTGATATATCAGAATACTACAGCCAAACACATGTGTGTATAGTATAGAGGTATATTCCACCAACATGATATGTCAATATTCTACAGCCAAATACATGTGTGTATAGTATAGAGGTATAATCCACCAATATGATATGTTATATACTACAGCCAAACATATGTGTGTATAGTACAGAGGTATAATCTACCAATGTGATATATCAGAATACTACAGCCAAACATGTGTGTGTATAGTAAAGAGGTATATTCCACCAACATGATATGTCAATATTCTACAGCCAAACACATGTGTGTATAGTATCGAGGTATAATCCACCAATGTGATATATCAGAATACTACAGCCAAACACATGTGTGTATAGTATAGAGGTATATTCCACCAACATGATATGTCAATATTCTACAGCCAAATACATGTGTGTATAGTATAGAGGTATAATCCACCAATATGATATGTTATATACTACAGCCAAACACATGTGTGTGTAGTATAGAGGTATAATCCAACAATGTGATATATCAGAATACTACAGCCAAACATGTGTGTGTATAGTATAGAGGTATATTCCACCAACATGATATGTCAATATTCTACAGACAAACACATGTGTGTATAGTATAGAGGTATAATCCACCAATATGATATGTTATATATATGTCAATATACTACAGCCAAACACATGTGTGAATACTAGTATATAGAGGTATATTCCACCAACATCATATGTCAATATTCTACAGCCAAATACATGTGTGTATAGTATAGAGGTATATTCCACCAACATGATATGTCAATATTCTACAGCCAAACACATGTGTGTATAGTATAGAGGTATAATCCACCAATATGATATGTCAATATTCTACAGCCAAATACATGTGTGTATAGTATAGAGGTATAATCCACCAATATGATATGTTATATACTACAGCCAAACATATGTGTGTATAGTATAGAGGTATAATCCACCAATGTGATATATCAGAATACTACAGCCAAACATGTGTGTGTATAGTATAGAGGTATATTCCACCTCCATGATATATCAATATAACCGCAAAAGATATGTGTGTATAGTATAGAGGTATTTTCCGCCTGTAGGATATGTGTGTATATCACAGTGGAGGATATGTATGTATAATATAGAGGTATATCATATCAAAGAGATATGTCATCAACGCCGTCACTGTTGGTCTAGGTCCACAATGCCTCGTGTGTCGTAAGAAAATGGGGATCGGATGGTCAGGCTGCATGTCGCGGCTGATCATCAAGACATGGGACGTGGAACATTCTCGCAGCGCCCCGCCGCCTGGCATTATCATACGTGTAAAATGTCTGCCTGCAGTGCCAAACAGCAAACAAACGAACAAACGCGTGCTTCCTTCCATCACCATCCTAGAATGCTCTCGACAACACAAGTGTGTTAATACTGTCAAATACCACTGGCACCTGTAAAATATGTAGCGCCTTTCGTCGATCCAGTAATGATGCTTCACATGAAGCTGTTGAGAATAGAAATCTTTTCTTCACTAACAGGTCGGCAGTGCGTGCGTGTGCGTGTGCGTGTGCGTGTGCGAGTGTTAAGCTTTAGACTGTTATTTTCTGCCTGTACATATAGTTTCAGTGTTTATGAGTGAGTGAGTTAATATTTAACGTCACATCGGCAATCAGTGTTTATGAACCATCAGGATATCAATATATGCAATTAGAAATTGAACCAAAACAATGCGTAGTCAATTATAATTTAGAACTCGCCAAATGGCTTGTTGAATAACAACAGCAAAACAGCAGTGATTCACACTGACATATGAACTCGACTTTGTATCGGGAAGTGTTCACTTACCATCGGAACGAACCGTTTCATTCTGAAATTCTTGTGTACATTTCATAGTTTATGATTGATACTACTCACACTGGTAATGCCTGATTCAATTAATCGACGTAGATAATATGTGTTCCTGTTTATGTGTTTATCGTGGCATTGTATGAACTATACTGAGGGAAACAAAAAAAGGAACACATAAAAGTACAAGTGCCCCTTTATTCTTTTCAGGTTTCATCATGAAATTATGTGGGAGAATAGAATAAGGAACACTGCGATGATGTGGTGTTCCCTTATTTGTTTCCCTCAGTATATGTTACATCAACGGGGTCACTTTTATGTGAAACACAACAAGGCAACACGCACGCACGCACGCACGCACGCACACACACACAGCAGTACATACACACCTGTAATCAGTCGCGCTTGCTCATTCATTCGCACCAGCAAACATACGTATATCAAGTGATACTATTATGCGCTATAACAACATATGCTAATAGAAACACCTCCGTCTAAATATATGCAGTTCATTAATGCCGGCCTATATGGAAATGAAATAATATTAATAATTTTACCACGATCTATCGGAAACGTAGGTATGAAAATCCTACTCAGTCTGTAAATAGTTATGAAGCAAAGTAAACGTTCTGTTTTGAAACAGATGCAGATAGGGCACCCTGATGCCAAACAAAGATCTTGTTTCAATGAAGCCATCCGCCGCGTTATGAAGAGCCCATCTTGTTATCACGACCTGCGAGCCAATTATTTTGGTACTCGGTACTGCCGTCACATCAGGATCATATATACCTCACAATGGGATCATATCTACACATACAGCTACGAGTGAGTGAGTGAGTTTAGTCTTACGCCGCACTCAGCAATATTCCAGCTATATAGCGGCGGTCTGTAAATAATCGAGTCTGGACCAGACAATTCAGTGATCAACAGCATGAGCATCGAGCTGCGCAACAGGGAACCGATGACACGTGTCAGCCAAGTCAGCGAGTCTGACCACCCGATCCCGACAGCTACGACAGTGACGACAACATTTTGCTGGACAAAACACTTAACTTACTAAATTGGTAAAGATGTGATGCGTCCGTTTACGTTCTATACAAAACACACGCACACGCACACGCACACGCACACGCACACGCACACACCAACATAAAGACGCGTGCGCGAACGAGAACACACACATCCACACGAATATTGTAACAGGGTGTACGGGAGTATGGAGGTCAAATGCCATAACTGTTAATTATTTACCACTGTCAATGCGAATTGCTGACCGACGTCTAAACTTCAGGTGATATGATGACCGAGACACACATCCAGAGAAAAATATACATTCGAAAAAATGGATTGAAACATTAAGAAGGTTAACGAATCATTACAAGATTGAAAACAGTCGCCGAGAAACTGCAACCTTAAGACCGACAACACAACCATGTTACCCCAATAAAACACATCACCGTCGAATAAACATTTTCGTCTTTTCATTTTAACCCAGCATCAAACATGGTCTCTACTACCCTTTGTCTAGCAGTATGTCACTAACCCGTAAAGATCCGGGTTAAAATTGATCTTCAGTAACCATTGGATCGGGTGGTCGGGCTCGCTGACTTGGTTGACACATGTCATCGGTTCCCAGTTGCTTAGATTGATGCTCATGCTGTTGATCACAGGATTGTCTGGACCAGACTCGATTATTTACAGACCGCCGCCATATGGCTGGACTAATGCTGAGTGTGGCGTAAAGCTAAACTCACTCACTCACTCAGTATGCCACTACATACCACTGCCTGCTTGAACTGAGCGAGTCCCTCAGTGTGACGTGAAGAACGCATCTCTCGTTTCACAAGTTGGAATCTCTCTAATGCGATCAAAGGTAACATTTCCCAGTTCCTGAAGCTCCCAGCTTAAGGTGGAAGTCGTGAGACGTGACACTATCTGCCCAAGGGAGACACTCTCTTGCTTGAAGGAGTCAGTCAGATGGTATACGTCGACCATCGCCCAGACTACAAGACCATGTAACTAATTTTCGGAACTAACAAACTAACAGTCTCTTCTCCGGGTTTGTTATTGTATACTACGGTCCACTCAGAAAGGATCTGCATATAAATAATACATGAACCATTATTTTTATCAAATTTCACCTCCGGTGACTTTCATGTTCAATGCATTTATATTCTGGAAATATTAAACCAGATGACAGCGAGTTTGGCTTCCAATAGTTTACCCATCTTTGGAATCAAAGTTTGGTCGACAGCGAATGAGAGAACGAGGTACCAGTAACTACCCTTACTTCATCGACATTGTACAAAAATATAATGACATTATTACTTGACAGCTCCAAGTAGATATAAATTTAGTGTATGAAGCATTTGACAGAGCATAGGACAAGGTTCTACTTATGATTCTAAAAGCGGTCAAAGAATGATATCACAAGAAATGCAGACAAGTGAGTGAGTGAATAGATATTGCTTAACGCCGCTTCACCAATTTTGCATCTATACTATTCACACTTTGCTAAGGATCAAATCATGGATTCAACAGAAAGCTTATTGTAAGCATGGATGCTAGGTTTCAGTGTGTCATTTCATCTTGGGGAACCCATACCTGCTATTGACTGGTGTTGTGTACTTGTTAATGACCCGTTCCATGATTTGCTAAATGGTTGATTGGTGCCATGAAAACCATTGTTATGGTTACTCATGTCTCAAGTGCATAAGGTTAGATTAAAGTGACTGTTTGCCTAAAGAGGGGTTACCATATTATTATTTATCCAGTTTTAAATGGATGCAATTTCAAATTATAAATCTACGTTTAAGTAAAGTTGTGATTGTTTGTGATCCTTAGCAAAGCGTGAGTAGTATATTACTAATATTAGTAATTAGGCGTGACACTGACCTGATTCCATTGTAATTGAACTTCATATTCCATTATAGAAAACAGGACACAGTTTTCATTTAAAAATAACATTTCATTGAACAAGTGCCAGGAATGTTAAAAATAGTTCACTAAAACGTCTACTAAATATATAATTCAATAAAGTTTAAAGAAAATAAAGGCTGCTCAGCATTCTCTGGTGATCGATGACGTTGATGAATATCTTTAAGTTAAACGTGAACTGTCCCCGCGGGTATACGTCGCACGGAGCAGGAGAGACAATGTTCGTCAAGTAAATATTTGTAAACACGTCAAAGTTTGAGCTGGAAGAACGTGGCAGTCCCCGCTTGCTACTCGCCTTGCACCCAGCCCAAACCCACACTCGTCCTCGTGGCACGGATGTCGCGGCGCGTGCGAGGTTAGAGGTCACGGGGCATGAAGCAGGCCGAAATTCTCCTGCAACCACGTATTCGAAGTCGAGACGATGTCCTCACAACATATCAAAGAAACGCATTGGAAACCTTCACACAAAAATAACCCGAGTTTATGTGACACAATGTGGAATATATATGAATATAAAATGTCGATAAGGGTCCTTTTGCCGATCAATTACACTTTGTCCCTGCCCGCTAGGTGGCGTCATGATCAACGCTCACCTGTATACCTTTGATCTGCAGATACCTGCATCATTAGGTGACCTCAACCGACTTCAGGTTGATAAACTCAATCTAGTCTACGTGCCGTGCATCGCAGTATTAACGTCGCCACAACTCCCAAAGACACTTGGGGCACGTCCATTGGAGCGTTTATAATAACGTCACTTCTCTCACAAAATCAACAGTTAATCGGTTCATAATCACACTTTGTAGAACACGCCACAACATTATATATAAAGGGCAAATACTTTTAAGCATTGAACAATGATTTGATATGTGAATAAGAGTTTATAAGTCTCTCACAAACTGATATAGACCGACGTCCTTAACGCTGGTCGCCATTACCGTTCAGCCCTCAGCCATGCCCGGCTCCACAGCCCCACACCCTCGCTCAGCTCGACACACCGCTAAAGTGCTATATCGTTCCAGGCGGTTGCAGTTTACGGGACTTGTCACCCGACATGACATTCTACATAAACAACACATTTCTCTCGTCTCCTTTAATATGTCCATTAACGTGACACTTTCTCCGGTTGCGCTTCATGCTTCCATGGTTACGGCTGACGTCACAGGCTCCGGATGAACATACTTCCACACTATTACCGTACTAACGTTTCCTATGAACTTTCAAATGTTTCGAGAGATGGTCTGAACGTGAAAATCTCTTCTCACAGATTTTACACTGATATGGTTTAATCCCGGAATGAGAGCGTTTATGACGGGCAAGTTCGTCGGATCTCGAGAACCTCCATCCACAACCTGGCCACGTGCACTCGAATGGTTTTTCACCTGTATGACGACGAAGATGGGCTTTTAGATGCGATGACTTGCTATACACTTTGTTACACCCTGCATAGGTACAGTGGTATATTTTGTCCTCTAAACGATCCCCCTTTGCATGATTTGGGAGTTTGGGGGACGGTGTCTTCAGCGTTCTGATCTTAACGTCCTCTAGAATACTTGTTTGTGTCAGCAATGACTTGGCACCATTGGTAGGAAGTCTGTAGTGACCGGTCTGGGAAACCTGGGCTAGAGCACCGTAGTTCACCTGTCGCTGCAGCAGGGATGGATGGGGGTGATGGAGGGTATGTTGTGGGGGTAAGGCAGGCTGACGGTGGGGTTCTGCAAACGCTGCTTTGCTTGCATAGTTATGCATGAGGTTTTGCAAGCCTACACCCAGCACCACAAAGTCATTGTTACTTGTTGGCACGGTAAACGTTTCCTCTGCCGGCTCAGCTTCTCTGGGTGGTGGTGCTATTGGCTTTTGAGTACAATAAGGTACACTGTTCACAGAAGAATCACAGACAACGGGGACCGGCGTTACTGGCTGATGAATTACAGGGGGTGCTTGACACATAGGGGGTGCCTTGGGGGTGCTTACCCCATTTTTTTCCACAGCGTCCACAAGGCCCTGGCTGAACAGATAGTCCAAATACACGTCATCGTCAAGGCTCTCCAAGCTCCACACCGACGACGATGGACTGTGACTCCGTAAGTCGTCAAGGCTGCTGGCGTCACTTTCCTCCCCGGCTGAATTGAGTCGCTGGAGGGTGAACTGCTCGCGTTCAAGACTGGAGACGAGGGGTAAGAAATCCTCCATCCTCACCCCCTCAAAGAGGTTCTCTATCCACGAGTCGGCCAGGGTGATGCTAGCGGTGTGTCCACTCTTGAGATGGTGATGAACCTATGAGTGACAGCGTTATCTCTGTCCTGTTGAGCGACAGAGGGATACCCCGGAGAATGAGGCCCTCGACTATATATAGCTCATATATTCTCCTTCTCGCTGTGCACAGCGGGCAGCGATTGGCTAGCAGCAAATCGCAACGACGGGAACATGTGATTAAGACTGAGAATTTTCGCCCTCTTTAAGTGTAATTTTACACCGAATCATTTGCATACAATCCCTTCGTATTTCCCAAGTCCGAGCATGTTGTGACAATCCTCTGCGCCCGTACTCTCCACGCTTTTACTCTCGTGTACACATCAACACACACAGCCGTCAACTGAGGTCGTTACACAAGACCTACTTCGTACACAACGTACCGTTATCCTTCCTCGTGGCTGTCAAGCCTATAGCTAGGGGTACTTTGTCACCGCTCGCCTTTCCCTCACTTAATAGATGTAGCTTTCCCCTGTACGTAACCCCTGGTCAGCTGAATCCAACATCAACGTCCCCCTACCTCGGCATGTTATGCATATGTCCCCGACGTGACATTCACTTCAAGTCATGGCGCTTGCAGTGGGTCCATGTAACCGATGACCGGCTTATACGCTCACTCAACGTACAAGAAACTCACTATTAAATCCTGATCCTATCTTGCCACTGCGTATATCCAGCGGTTCGTGGTATGCGTCCCCGCAGTGCGAAACTTCACACCAACTACTTGTTGCATATCCGTTTTGCCTGGTGCAATTTGAAATGCCAGCCGGTGACACTGGAGGGTTGTGGTACTGACCACCACGGTGGAGTGTGTGTCGTTGTGCCGGTGGGGGATATGAATGAACAAAGACTATTGCTTGTTGACACCTTGTCACAGAGCGCAGTGTCCCCAAAACGCTTCCATCAACTGCCGCTTAAAATGCTATTGTCATATCTTCAACAAGTTTAAGTCCCATTAAAGCTGTGTTAAATGTGTTCCCTGTAAACAGAGTAGTTCTTAAGGATTAGACAAATTCCCGGACTGAGATGGGGGGCCACGTCCTTCCTCACTGCCGCGTCCGTGACTGGACATCAGGTATTTTCCGTCAAGTTCTCTCTGAAATAGCGAGATGAATGAATTTGGTCGCAGCGACGGGATTCCGCGTCAACTCACGGGAACAGGTTGACACAGGCTCGGAAATAGCCGAAATCAAACAGACTCGCGTGGTCATCTTCATCTGTCCCTCCTCCGCAGCCAGTCAGGTCGTTGTGTCAACATATTCCATCTTCCAGTTGAATACCTCTTCCTTCAGATGTCATCTACGTTTTACCTTCAGCGAAACCGGTGAAAATAGCGCTCTGGCTTATAAACACAGTATGCATTCCAAATGAACATCTGTGTGCTCTGAATGACTATGTCGGAGCATCGGTTAATTGCCTATGCGTGGGAATATATATGAATATATCAAAAAGTAGACAGGTGTTTCAGTGGCGAACCTACATAATTGCAGGTGCAAATGATACGTAGTGTATGTGCGGACGAAAATCGCGAGGTAATAACATATGTAACGTGACGAGTTTTAATTCTAAAACTGCATTTTTTAAATATTCATTTAAAATAGAAGCCATTATTTTTGTAGTTAAAGCAATGACACATTTTGCTTTGTGAAATGAATTCTTAAGTATTTTATTCAGCTATAAGGAGAATTTACAAGGAGGGTGGCACCAGAAATTGGCCTCGCACTACTGTACCCATATGGGGAGTAGAACCCGGTCCATTTTCGTGACGGGACGAATTAACCACTCGATTACCTCGGCACCCTTGCTGTGTATTAATAACTTGTCATATATTTCTTTTACGCCACATTAGCAATATCCTGTTGTATACGGAAATCTGTAAATAAACAAGTCAGGATCAAACGATCCAGTGATCAACATCATGAGCATTGATCCACACATTTGGGATCCACTGCCATGCTATCAACGACGTCAGCAAACTATAAGGTGAATATAGACTTACATATTGACTGAAACTCCTATAACATCAATGCATGGTCAAGTGGTCCTTTGATGTCCAGCTAATAAGCACGGCATACAGATATGCAGAATAGGTGAACTTCCTGAAATCCATAACCACCGGAACGGTGGGTAGCCTAGTGGTTAAAGCGTGGACTCATCACGCCGGGTTTAATTCCCCACATGGGTACAATGTGTGAAGCCCATTTCTGGTTTCCCCCGCCGCGATATTGCTGGAACATTGCTAAAAGCGGCGTAAAACCATACTCACAATCACTCACCATAACTACCAAATTCATGGAAAAGTAGTAATAGAATGTACTTTGCCTAGAGTGAGTAAATTGGGTTTATATATGGCGCTCTTAGCAATATTCCAGGATTATCACGGCAGGGGAACTCCCGAAATGGGCTTCACACATTGTACCCATGTGGGGAATTAAACCCGGCGGGCCTTTAATTCCACGCTTTAACCACTAGGCTACCCCTAAGGGACACAGAGGTAAGTCTGATGCATGTCATGTTGCCTTGAAGAATATGTTTTCAACACTCTGTGTACTGGATATATTCCCAGATATTACTACATACATCAGTAAACAATAAACCAGTTGTCAATGGGTTGGCTAGATGTGTATGATACATGTAATCTTTCATTCACGAATGTTTTAAGCTATTTTAGTATTTTATTTAAACAACATTATGCGTTGATATGGCTCACTTATATTTTCAGAAAGCAACTTGTCAAATTCAGATGTTAAATATGCGCATGTGTTTTGATGGATTATCTATCGAGACTGGTTATTTTCTGGCTTTGGCTCTGTATATCTTTTGAATTAATTAATCCTTTGACAGTTTCTACAAAGAGTCACATACTAACTAACTCTGCTTATCCCAGTGGAGTGCATGCACTTGTAACTTTGAGTGATCTGAAGTTGTGATTGTTTGTGCCCTCGCCAGCTTAACCACTTTCCGCACACATCAGATGTCGCTGGCTAACGACTCAGTTTATTTCATGATATGTCCGGAAGTATATCCCCTCAATGTTCAGCTTGGCCGGGGTACGTTGTATTGTCAGAGGAAACTTGGAGCATAAACCCCACCACTTCACTTGGCGCCACTTGTACGAATCTGGAGGGGGGTAATCGCGCGTTCGACTTTCGGGGGAAACCCTGCCAATCACCCCCAGCGTCAAGTACTTGAACCACGTGCATAAAACGAGATGTGGTACTGCATGAGATTGGCACTTCTCGAGATTTCTCGGAGGACCTCGCCAGAGTGACACTTACCTCCTTCCTGTTCCAGTCTTCATTCACAACTGGCTCACCATGAGATTACATAGTATTTCGCTGTGAGAGTCTCACACGTACTGTGCACGTGTACAACGGCAGTCGCGCTCGATGCCAGTTCACTAAATGTGGGAGTGAGCGAGTCATGGTTCTGTTGTTTACTGTTTAACGTCTCTCACAGTAATATTCCTGCCGTATGGAAGCGATCTGGACTAGACACTACAGTCATCAATATCATTAGCATCGAGCTACGCAATTGGTGTGGGTGAGTGAGTGAGTGAGTATGGTTTTACGCCGCTTATAGCAATATTGCAGCAATATCACTGCGGGGAACACCAGAAACGGTCTTCACATATTGTACCCATGTGGGGAATAGAAGCCGGACCTTCGGCGTGACGAGCCAACGCTTTAACCACTAGGCTATCCCACCCGACCCTCTATGCAATTGGGTTACGATGACATATGTCAACCAAGTAAACGAGCCTTTCTACCTTATCCCGTTTGTCGCCTCTTACAGTTCTAACCTTCGGGGTTATATACTACCGGTGGGACAGAACTTGCTAACACATTTTGCTATCACCTGGTCATTACTGATTTTCAGTGGTCCATTAATATTATTTTCACCGCTCTATCGCCCTCTGGGATTAATGAATGGAATCTGTCGGTAAATAATCGAGACAGTTTAGTCTCCGGCTTTGAGGGGCCAATTTCTGGTGCCCCGCCTTGCTATTGCTGGAATATTGCTAAAAACTGCGTAATACATAACTCACTCACTCAGTCTGGCGTTGACGTTTTATATTAACGTGGGTTAATCCGGACGATTACATTGGAATAGTTTTGATTAACGAGGTTCGCTATGCGCGACATTTTCTGTATCTATGCAGCTATATCTGACCAATCAGCGTCTCCGCCGGCCCCCTGCCTACATACAGAGGAACCAAGGATGTAATTGGCAACATTTCGCCCCTGACGTAGAACTACAGAGAGATCTGCAAGGTCACTGGTTCCTGCAGCACAGTGAGGGCGGGGACCCTTTCTGTTGTCGACGAGATAAGTATCGTTATTGTGAAGGGTTTGTTTTGAATTGATGTTGCTCAGTTGGGTAGTTCAACACCATATTTGATGATGAATAGATCACAATCTAGCTTTAGCATGTCATCAGTGTCTCTGTACAAACAAATCACGTACACGTTCATAAGAGAATGTGTCATGGTTAAAGATATTAAGTTAAAGCTTTAAAATAGTCTTTATTACCTTTAATAAAATAATCGATGAATAAAATGTACGTTTTGCATCCGTTTCAATTTCCCCACCCGACTACAGATAAGATTCCCACGAAATGACACACTCCAATCTCCACTGACTTTGACACGCTCCTCCCCAATCTCCACGGACTTCAACACACTCCTCCCCAATCTCCACTGACTTTGACACCCTCCTCCCCAATCTCCACTGACTTTGACACACTCCTCACCAATCTCCACGGACTTTGACACACTCCTCACCAATCTTCGTTGAGTTTGACACTCTCCTCACCAATCTCCACGGACTTTGACACACTCCTCCCCAATCTCCGTGGACTTTGACACCCTCCTCGCCAATCTCCACAGACGTTGGCACACTCCTCACCAATCTCCACAGACTTTGACACACTCCTCACCAATCTTCGTTGAGTTTGACACTCTCCTCACCAATCTCCACGGACTTTGACACACTCCTCCCCAATCTCCGTGGACTTTGACACACTCCTCGCCAATCTCCACGGACTTTGACACACTCCTCACCAATCTCCACGGACTTTGACACACTCCTCCTCACCAATCTCACCAATCTTGAGCACTTTGACACTCCAAACTTTGACTCACCAAATCTCCTTGTTACCTCTTGATGGGTATGCCCCCAATCCCGTGGGTTGTGAATCCTCACTTATTATCTTTATTGGTTTGCCAGATCCTCCCCCCTGCCTACCACTTCAACACACACGTTGAGCTACTGCTAACAGCGGATTCAAACCCAGCTCGATCACAGACTACCACAATGGACTGAAACTGTTCGCTATATTAATACAAGCACGTATTTTATGTACATGTGCCGTGCTACGTACCAGAGATAGGGCACCAAACACGATTCACATTTCATAGTTTTACGTATATGGTACCTACTGTAAGAACAAACCCGTGAAGGTCCGGGTTAGAATTGATCTTCAGTAACCGAAGCTTGTCGTAAGAGGCGACCAATGGGATCAGGTGGTCAGGCTCGCTGATTTGGTTGACACATGTCATCGTATCCCAATTGCGTAGATCGATGCTCATGCTGTTGATCAATGGATTGTGTGGTCCAGACACAATTATTTACAGACCACCACTATATAGGAATACTGCTGAGTGCGGCGTAAAACAACAAACCAACCAATCAACCAACTGTAAGAATCATAAAGCATATAAAAGGTGTCTATGAACTATCGTATCATTAAAGAAATATTACGTATGAAGTATAAGTCATGATCCATGGCCTCTCAACCTAATGACAGTTTGTCTGCAGTGATGTTGGACACGAAGCCGGTTGCACTGGTTGGACGCACGTTACACTCAACCCGGTACAGGCTGCAGGCGCACACGGTCGCCCGTTTGGTAACTGTTTAAGCTTAGATGTTTCACCACACTGAACAAAAAACAGGACCTAACAAAAACCGGAGCACATATGTTTGCAAGATCAAAAGGCTTAGACCTTAATTAAATCCAGTCCTTTTATTTAAAACGCTCAAGAGCGTTTGTACGACGTTTAACAGCATAATTAGTTTTTTCAAAAGACGTTTTGTTATAATTCAGCAAACACACAAACCGGTACCTTTGAAGAGCCTTTTCAAAGAATGTCTATAGTTATGGGAGCAAACACTAACATTAATTAATAGCCTGATTCATCTAATATTCTCAGATGTCCGTTGGGTATTTTGGTTGCTTAACGCCGCACTTAACAATATTCAAGACACATGGCGGCGGTCCGTAAATAATCGAGTCTGAACCAGACAATCCAGTGATCAACAGCCTGAGC